AAATCCCCACGGTTTCTCCCCAATCCCATAGCTGGGGGGGGCCTAGGACACTGCCACCCCCTTCTGTGGGGTCACCCCTGGCCACAAAGACCCCAAAATTGGAGGGATAATGTCCCCCCTTGCGACAGCACCCACTGGAGCCACCCCCCAAGATGCAGAAGAGCTTGAGGTCGCTTTGTTTTTAATTTAAGGGGAAAACTAAGAATATATAAATTAATTAAATATGAGGGTAACTAAAGATGAACGACGATTTTCCGTTGGAATTCAAATCCCTTAAATCCACCTCATGGGGCACCCCCCTGCTCCAGCGTCTCCGCCTGCGGGGATGGGGAGGGGGTGCCCTGGGCCTTGCCATGGGCCCTCAAAACTCTGCACTTGATTATTCACCTTCAACCCCCCTGTGCTGTCAGTGCCTTAAATCCCCCCCGAAATGAAGGGGCTGAGGGGGACGGTGGGCACCAGGACGTGTCCCTTGGCCCTGGTTGTGGGGTCTGTGACCGAAGCTGGTGGTGATGGCCCCGTCCCGGCTCCACCGTGGGTACCAGGGGGCTCGGATGCTGCCATTGCTGGTCAGTGAGGGTCAGGGTGCGAGGGCAAAGATTCAGCTCCCAGCGCTGCCACGAAAGCCTCCACCTGCGAGGAGAAGGAGGTTGAGGGTGCGGTGATGGGATGGCACTGGGATGGTACCGAGACAGTGCTGCAATGGCACCGGGACAGCATTGGGATGGCACTGGGATGGTACTGAGTGCTACAATGGCACTGGGATGGTACTGGGACAGCACCAGAATGGCACCGAAAGAGCGCTGCAATGGCACTGGGACAGCACTGGGATGGTGTTGGGATGGCACCGGGACAGCACTGGGATGGTGTTGGGATGGCACTGGGACGACACCAGGACAGCACCAAGACAGTGCTGCAATGGCCCTGGGATGGCACCAGAACAGCACTGATATGGCACTGGGACAGCACCAAGATAGTGCTGCAACGGCACTGGGACGGTACTGGGATGACACTAAGGCAGCACTGGGATGGCACTGGGACAACACCAGGACAGCACCGAGACAGTGCTGCAATGGCCCTGGGATGGCAGCAGGATGGCACCAGGACAGCATTGATATGGCACTGGGATGACACCAGGATGGCACTGGGACAGCACCAAGATAGTGCTGCAATGGCACTGGGACGGTACTGGGATGACACTAAGGCAGCACTGGGATGGCACTGGGACACCAGGACGGCACTGAGACAGTGCAGCAATAGCACTGGGATGGCTCCAGGGCAGCACTGGTATGGCACTGGGACAGCACCAGGATGGCACTGGGATAGCACCAGGACAGCACTGGGATAGCACCAGGACAGCACTGGGATGGCCAAGGTTCAAACCAGCTCAGACCAAGGGTGTGGAAATTATTTCTTCCATGAAAAAATGAAGTCTTGGTGGAGCTGGGAGCCCAGCCCAGCCCTGACCGTGGTCCCGGCGCTGCCACCAGCGGCTGTCACCGAACCAAGCTGTGTCACCGCGGCCGTGCCCACCTGCGCCATGAGGACGCCCTGCGCTGCCGCATCGTGCTCGAAGTCCTGCTCCACGTCCAGCACCAGCACGGGCGCGTGCTTCACCCCCGCAAAGTGAACCCTGAGGATAGCAGACAGAGAAAACATAATAAATAAAAATATACCCCTAAATAAACCCCCAAACCAAGGGGGACACCCCAAAACCCCATCAGGGCAGGGTGCGGGGGGTTTGGGACTCACTGCGTGGTCTTGTCCAGCAGCCAGCGCTCGTGCTGGGTGTGGAGCTGCTGCAGGTACCGCAGCTGAACCCCCCCCTCCTCGCTCCTCGCCCTGCGCCGCATCCGCTCCAGGCACGTCTGTGGGATGGGGGTACGGGATTTGGGGGGGTGGGAGGTGAATGGGAGAGATGGGAAATTAATGGGATGTGAGGGACATGGGAGGTTAACGGGAGAGACAGGAGAGATGGGAGAGGGAGGTTAATGGGATGTGAGGGACATGGGAGGTTAACGGGAATGTTATCGGGATCGGGGGGAGATGGGAAGTCAATGGGAAATGAATGAGATGTAGGGAGATGGGAAATGAA